TTACAGACATCAGTTGCTGGGAATACTGACTTCCATCTATCTGTAGCTGTTTCTGCCAGGTTCACAGGGAGTAGGGAACACTCCCCAACACCACCTCTGGTTCGGTTTCTCAGCAAGGTACCTGTGCAGGAAGACATTCCTGGGATGGAAAATGTGTATCTCTCTACCTGCAACTTGTTCTTGGTGAAAGACCCAGAGCTCTGAGAAGAATTACACAACTGTGTTCTTCCCTCAAAGTTGGGGCTTTGACCCATCATGATAGGGACAAAAATTTGTCATCCAAAAATTAAACTAGCAAAAAATCCTACATGCAATGGAAAGATTGGCTTCCTGTAGGACTAACCCAAGAAATTATGTAGGTATGACTCATGAAGGGGTTTGGGGAAGACCCAATGCTCTAATAAGTGACTTGAATACAACTCAAGGGAGCAAAGGTAGAACATGATTATAATTGAGAAAAATGGCCAAATCAATTTGCTTTCCTAGCACTATGTACTGGGAGAGTCTATTTAAGAAGGATGCATGTTTATTCATGCTGGAGAGGAGCATAGAGACTGAATCTAAAGAATGGAAAGTTCCAGGCACCAGAGACGAGGATTCAGTAGTAGGTCAGGTGTGTTATTTTATCAGATTTCACCATGGTCTACATGAATTATCCCTGAGAATCTTTCTCTGCTCTGATCTGGTTTTGTGCCCATGAGTGAGCATTCTGGTTTCTAATCTAGCTCCTCAGTATCCTGAAAATGTGAAAATGATACCCCAGGTTTGACCTAGGGAAGCTCCTCACAGTAGATGAGTATATTTTCATGCCTTGTTATAACCCACCTTTTAGAAATTCTTCGGTGAGCTGACCTCAGTGAATACCAACTATTCTATCGATCCTGGCCAAGCACATGCCCAGATTTCTGAAGCTGAAGCTGGCCCCTGGGGAAGGGGAACAGCCAGCCTCCCAGAGAGGTCTCATAGCTCATTATAACAGTAATGACCCTGTCATATCAGGCCCAATAAATTCACTGGGCAGAGGACAGTGTAGACAAATACATTCAGAGAAGTCATCACAGACTGGCCATGGTCCTGGTTCTTTGGTGGTGTTAGGAACTCTTTGGAGAGAGACCTACTGAGTGGAACTGCTATATAGATAGATACTTGTCACCAAAATATGGGGTCAGAGCTTTCAACATGTCTGCCTTAACGCTGGGATTTCAAGTTAGGTTGTAGGGCACCTATTTTCTCTGCTCAGAAGTCAGATTGCCTCCCACATCTGGAAAACGGATGAAACCTCAGGGATGAACTAAAGATTTATCAGTTCTATTTTTGTTTCTAGTGACTATGGCTGGGGGAAAGCTTAAGCATAAGAGACTCAATTGGCTTATTTAGAAAAATTTAGGGATAGAATGACACAGCCTTAGGCACAGCCTAAGGCAGGGACTCAGCTGATCCTACCTGAGGACCTGGTTTCTCTCAACTTTTGTCTCAGACAGATAAATGTGTCCTGAGTCCCAAGCAGGTTCTCTCCCACTGCAGCTCCTACAAGATGCAGCAGCTACTCTTAATCTTCCCTTTTCAATACTTTAAAGATAGCAGAGGAGAGAGAGTCTCTTCCACAAAGACCTTTCAGGGCGCCCTAATTTGGTAACTTGCCTATCCTTGAGCCTATTGTTTCAACTAGGGAAATGTGATTTTCTGTGTCAGTCACTTGATCATTCTCAAGACCAACGGTAGAAGTGCCTTCATTAGAAGTACCCTTGGACAGTTCCCCAGAGAGGAATTAGGGTAGAATCTCCAAAAGAAGGATGAATGGATGTTGGGCAGGAGTCTAGTGAGGCTGATGATTTCAAGGTGGGGGTAAACCATAGCAGTGACATTTTCTCTGACTTCAGGAAGGATTTCTGAATTCAACATCAGTATGAATGTTCTAATGTTGTCATCACGCCCGAGACTCACTCACTCTCTCAAGAACATACAGTTAAGTGCTTCAGTTATTCCACAAAATTTAGTTTATCTGACTCCCATACTTAGTGTGAATAGATGAGTCATCTTCCTGACATTGTCACCACCATTATTATAACATATTCTTGGCTTCATTGAATCCACTATTGCATGTCCTTGGTATTCACAGAATCCAAAGACAAGGGATGTTTATAGAGTACATGCATACAATATTCAATCCTGTATTCATATTTACTTTTGAGTCCACTTAAAAGAATAGCTGAAATCTGAAATTATATATCTATACTTCTTTTTCAAAAAAGAGGTCATATTATATCTGGATGAATTCTCACTAAATACAACTCTGTAATCAGAACCCAAACAGAAATTATTGATTAATGAAATTGACCATCTTTTCATATTTGGGGCATATTTTTGTGTCCTCTTTTGCAATGTGTCTATTCACATCCTCTAGCTTTTATTTGGTTGTCTGTCTTTTTCTTATTAATTTGGAAGAGTTTTTTAAATATATATTCTGAGTACTAGTCAGCCTATGTTCTCTCATCCTTTGAACTGTCTTTTCACTTTATTAATGGTATCTCTTGATAATGAAAGATCTTTATTTTATATACTTTATGACTTTTTCTTTATTGTGAATACTTTTTTAGTTAGGTTTGAGAAAATCTTTACCTATTATGAGGTAATCAAGATGTTCTCATGTGTTTTCTTCTGCACTGTTTAATTTTTTACCTTTAGATTTGCAATCTGTCTGGAACTGACTTTTGTTATGGCAGATATAGATGTCAAGATATATTTGTCTCCCATATATATATATATATATCTAGTGTAAGCCAATCATCCCATTTCTAAGATAAAATATTTCTCAGGGACCATATGTATCAATGACAATTTTCATTTCATGTCCTTTCTTTTGTCTTTATTGTAGGATTTGATGCTTAAAGGTACAATTCTGCATTTCCTTCTATCTATGGATATAACTTTCTCTTTAAGTCATAGAGGAAAGTGGAAGAATGAATGTAGTCCTGGTTTTGCATTATTTTAATCAGGATGCAGGCTTAGTTGCTATAACAAAGATTTAAATATAATAGTGGGGTAAGTTCTCAGCAGTCAATTCAAGAATAGCAATCCAGGGCTAATTTGGTGACACTCTAGTACACAAACCCAGGCTCCTTCTATTTTCTCTATATTACTCAACATAAAGTTCCTAACTCATGGTCTGCTTCAATCTTTGATACTAAATACCTATTCTAACCAAAACTAAAGAGAAAAAGGAATAAGAAGCCAAGTCACTTCATGGTAATAGTCACCTAGAAGTTGAACACATTCCTGCCACTTCTATGTCATTGGTCAGAATTCTGCTCATGGCCACAGCTAATTGCAAAGAAGCTGAGAAATGCATCCTTTAGCTGTGTGGTCATATCCCACTGAAATTCAGGAATATATTACTAAAAAAAAGGAGATGAATTGTTATTAGTGAGCAGTTAGCAGTTTCTGTCATAATACTCTTGTTTATCATTGTAGGTTTTTTCCTCTACGTTCTCAGTCTGATGCAGACAAACTTAGATGTTGATTACCTAAAGGTAGATCTCTATGTGGATGGTAGTCATGGCCTGACACTATTTACAAAGTCAGTGATTCCTCAGCAGCCTAGAAAGTCTCCTTGTATAAAGTAGCTGATGTTGTATCTGCTTGGGGATCCTTTAATCAGAGACTGTTTGATTGGAAAGATGATAATAATCACATATGGAACTGGATGACATCTCCATGATCACCCTGCAAAATGGTAGCAGAGCTGAGACTAGAATCCGGAGTCTTGCTTTTCCATCAGATGCCCTTGCCACCACATTATGTTCCCAGTCACAACTATCCCAATGGATTTACATTTTCTTTATTAGTTAATCAACTTAGCAGATACTGAGTACTTACATAAACCCCAAATTGTAGGAGGTACGACAGAGCACAATCCATGGGTGGAACAGTTAGAGAAAAACAACCACTTGTCATTTACATGCAATGATATGAAGTCAGTTCCCCAAACCCACTGGTGATAGTCACCTAGAAGTTGAACTCATTTCTTCTACTTCTATGTTGGGCACTGTGCAACTTTGCTGTGTAGTCAGTCAAAGAGATGGGGGTAATGGTCAGAGGTAGTAAATATGCACCATTCATTTTAAAGAAAACAAGTTGCATTTTCTGAGTATTATTCTGAATACTGATAGTGCTATTTTATATGTAAGCGCATATAAAATATGTTTACCTATAAAGAAAATCAACAAGGAAATTATTTTAGGGTCCAAGATTCCTTTGGTGTTTAGTCTTATGTTCATTTATTTTCTTCTTCCAAATCTCATTAGCTGAAATGCTAGTTTATGATACACTCAAAAAGCAACTTGTTCAAAATTCCTTCAGTTATTTTCTCAAGTATAAATCTGATAGTTATTCCTCTCATCAGTGACTTCCAGTTGCCCTAAAGATTAATTCCAAACTCCTCAGTCTGGCATGCCAGATCTTTTAGGATCATACCCTTTCGTCTCTTTCCCACCCATTACCTCCCCTCTCTCCCCTAGCAATTTCTTGGTACGTATCTCCCTCCAGCTACACTGAGTTGTTTACAACTCCCTATTACGCCCAGCACTCCGTGGCCTCTGTGCCTTGCCAGTTACTCTTCCTTTTTTCTGTCTGTTCCTTATCCAGCCAACACCCAGGCATCTCCCCTTCATCCTAAGGTCCCAGCTAAGAGGTCACCTCCTCCAGGAAATCCTTTGTGTTACCCCCTAAGCCTGGACTGGGTGCTCCTTATTTGCCCCCTTAGCACCCTCACTTTGCCTGCCCCAGCCCTCATCAGCCTAAGCTGTTAACTGCCTGTTTGTCTTTAGGTTTCCCAGACTAGACCAAGAGTTCTCAGAATTCCCAAATACAATGTAAACACAGTAGGGCCTGTGTTTTCACAGCTGCACTCTGGGGCCTTAGCTCAATAAATATTTTCTGAAAGAATGAAGACATGAATGAATGAGTCACTTATTATTTGTTGCTTTCTTATATTTCCTCAGAATTACAACCGGCCCCCCGTGATGGCGTTAGCCATCCCCATCGCAGTGAAATTCCTTCACAGGGGCAGCAAAGAACTGTGCAGGAATATGTCCAACTATCTGTCCCTTGCTGCAATTTCCAAGGCAGACCTCCTGGCTGAGCACACGGAAGTTATAGTAAAGAGCATTCTGCAAGGTATGGTGCAAAGGCTGAGCTTGAGGATGAATTTTAGGGGCCATTGAAAAGTATTTTTTTGAAGCATTTATGACTGGTGGAAGGTGAGACCTAGAGTATTAGAGGCAAGCTAAATTTTCTGCTTTGCCACTAGTTAACTTGTGAACATGCAAAAAGTCACTTGGGCTGGCTGAATCTATATCTCTTCCCAGGGCAGATGAATTACTTGGACTCATGACATGAGGCATAAGCTTTCTTCTAACTCTACATTTCTCTGTTTGGAAATCTGTGTTTTCCATGCTTCTGGTCACCACCAGCTGTGCAGAGCTTATCTCTAAGTTCTAAGGAACATGGGCTGTGGCTCTCAGTAGTAGATGGAAACCCTCTTCATTTGGTTTCCAAAAGCAAGAAATGTCTTTTGTTAAATAAAATATACCAGGAAGTATGTAATGAATCCTTAAAAGTGAACATGATTTCAGACTGATTTTCAACTGTGTTGAATATTAACATAAACAATGAAATCAGGATACCTCTGTTCATTGTTCCAATTTTTTTTCCTTTCTTTGTTTATTTTTTTAAATTTCAGATTAATGTAAGAGTACAAACGACCAAATCACAATATTTGAATTTGTCAGGTAAAGTCCCTCTTGTAGCTATGTCCTCTACCCCAAAGGTGTGCCATACACCCCTACATTGTGTCCATTCAGTGGGAGCACCCCAGCCCCCTATATTGACCTACCCCTTGACTGGAATGGAAATGAGTTTTTCTCTTATGTGGGTATGAATTAGATCATCTACTGGCTTCATATTAGTATTAAGTATATTGGATATTTGCTTTTTCATTCTTGTGATACTATACTGAGAAGAATGTGTTTCAAGTCCATCCAGGTTGATACAAAAGATGTGACATCACCATCTTTTTATGGCTGAATAGTATTCCATGGTATACACATACCATAGTTTGTTAATCCATTCCCGAGCTGATGGACATTTAGGTTGTTTTCACATCTTGGTTGGTCAATTGAGCTGTGATAAACAATCTAGTACAAATGTCCTTGTGATAGAATGATTTTTTTCTTCTGGTTAGATGCCTACTAGTGGGATTGTGGAGTCAAATGGGAGATCTAGTTTGAATTCTTTAAGGATTCTCCATACTTCTTTTCAAAGAGGCTATATTTGTTTGCAGCCCCACCAATAGTGTAAAAGTGTGCCCTCTCTCCACATCCATGCAAGCATCTGCAACTTTGGGATTTTGTGATGTGGGCTAATCTTACTGCAGTTAGTTGATATCTCAGGGTGGTTTTGATTTGTATTTCTCTGATGATTAGGGACCATGAACCTTTTTTCATATGTTTGTTAGCAATTTGTGTGTCTTCCTCAGAGAAGGTCCTGTTCATGTCTCTTGCCCAGTGATAGATGGGATTGTTTACTCTTTTTTTGTTGATTAACTTGAGTTCTCTATAGATCCTAGTTATTAAGTGTTTGTCAGATTCATAATATACAAATATTTTTTCCCATTCTGAAGGCTGTGTCTTTGCTTTGATTGTGGTGCTCTTAGTTCTCCAGAAGGTTTTCACTTTAATTAAGTCCCATTTGTTAATTTTTGTTGTTGCAATTGTTACAGAATTCTTCTTCATAAAATCTTTCCCTAGGCTGACATCTTCGAGAGTTTTTCCCACACTTTCTTCTAGGATTTTTATTGTTTCCTGCCTAAGATTTAAATCTTTTATCCATCTTGAATCAATTTTTATAATTGGTGAAAGGTACGGGTCAAGTTTCAGTCTTTTATATGGAGTTGTCCAGTTCTCCCAGCACCATTTATTGAATAGGGATTATTTTCCCTAGTGTATGCTTTTGTTGGGTTTATCAAAGATCAGATGGCTATGAGAGACTGGTTTCATCTCCTGATTTTCTGTTCAGTTCCAATTGTCTATGTCTCTATTGTTGTGCCAATACCATACTATTTTGATCACTGTGGACTTGTAATATTGCCCAAAATCTGGTAGGGTGATGCCTCCAGCTTTGTTTTTATTACTAAGAATTGCTTGGCTATACAGGGTTTTTTCTGATTGCATACAAAATGAAGTAGTATTTTTTCCAAATATTCAAAGTATGGTATTGTTATTTTAATGGGGATTGCATTGAATCTGTAGATTGTTTTGGAAAGTATAGACATTTTAACAATGTTGATTCTTTCCAACCAGGAGCACGGTGTGTTCCTCCGTTTGTTAATGTCTTCTTCTGTTTCTTTTCTTAGGGTTTCGTAATTCTCTTTGTAGAGATCCTTCACCTCTTTTGTTAGGTATATTCCTGGTTATTTCATTTTCTTTGAAGCTACTGTAAAAGGAATTATGTCTCTGATGAGTTTCTCAATTTGGCTGTTACTGGTGTATACAAAAGCTACTGATTTGTGGACATTGATTTTATACCCTGAGATGTTACTATATTTCTTCATCACTTCCAGGAGTTTTGAGGTTGAGTCTCTGGATTTTCTAAGTATAAGATCATATCATCAGCAAAGAGAGAGAATTTGACCTCCTCTGTCTCCATTTGGATGCCCTTTATTTCCTTCTCTTGCCTGATTGTATTGACTAGAACTTCCAGAACTATATTGAATAGTAGTGACAATAGAGGACATCCTTGTCTGGTTAACAGTTCTAAGTGGAAAAGGTTTCAGTTTTATTCCATTCAGTATAATATTAGCTGTGGATTTGCCATAGATGTCTTCAGTTTAAGAAATGAGCCACTTATGCCTGCATTCTTAAGTGTTCTTATTAGAAAAGGATGCTGAATTTTATCAAGTGCTTTTTCTACACCTATTGAGAGGATCATATAGTCATTGTTTTTGCTTCTATTGATATGGTGAATTACATTTATGGATTTGTGTATGTTAAACAAGCCTTGCATCCCTGGGATAAAGCCTACTTGATTGTGATGTATAATTTTTTTAACGATTACAATAGCTGTAATCTATTGGCTAGGATTTTGTTGAATATTTTTGCATCCACATTCATTAGTGAAATTGGTCTGTAGTTCTCCTTTTTAGTTGGATCATCAGGGTGATGTTTGCTTCCTTCTCAACATTTTGAAATAGTTTCCGTAGTCTGGAGATAAGCTCTACTTTGAAGGTTTGATAGAATTCTGGTGGACCAGGGTATTTTTCTGTTGGGAGATTTTTTATTGTTTATTTGATCTCAGTGCTTGATATTGGTCTCTTCAAGAGATCTATTGTTTCTTGGTTAAGTCTAGGGAGAATGTGTAATTCCAGGTATTGGTCCATTTCCTCCATATTGTCAAATTTCTGGGCATAGAGTTTTTAGTAGTAATCAGAGATAATGTCTTGTATCTCTGTGATATCTGTTGTTCTCATTTTCATTTCTGATACAGGTTATTAGAGATTTTACTTTTCTGTTTCTAGTTAGTCTGGCCAAAGGTTAATCAGTTGTATTTATTTTTTCAAAGAACCAGCTTGTTGTTTCATTAATTTTATGAATGATTCTTTTGTTTTCAATTCCATTAATTTCTGGCTTAATTTTGTTTCTTTTCTTCTGCTAGGTTTGGAATTAGATTGTTCTTCTTTTTCCATTTCCTTAAGATGACTCATTAGGTTGTTGATGTGCTCTATTTCTGTTTTTTGGATGTAGACATCTAATGTGATGAATTTCCTTTGTAATTGTTCCAATATTTGAATAAAGAGAAAGTCCAGTTAGTCCATGCAAAATATTCTCCTTGTCTTCACTTTCTTCTATTTGGTTCCAGGTCTATCAGAAACCATGTATTTGGGGCTTGGGATAAGTGAACAACATATGGCAGTGTTTTTAAACCTTTTTTTTAATCTCATGGCACACTTAAACATATAGTTAAACTTCTGTGGCATACTTAAATTATGTTGATCAAAAAAAGAGTAAGAAAAAGAATATACTTACTGTGCCTTGAACTTCTTCCAAAAATAATTTAATTATGGTCTTTCTAAATTTTCATGGCATACCTAAGATCCTCTCACCACACACCAGTGTGCCATAGCATAAAGCTGAAATTCTCTGATATATGGTATTATTTTATATGGATCCAAATGTCCCCAGTGCTAATTAATAAAAATACACTAGGTCTGTGAGTAATTCAACCCACATTTTACTGACACAACCCCCAGTGCTTAGTTCAGCATCAACCCTCTGTAGAGTGCTCTCAGTACAAGTATTTCTTAGGGCCCCCAAAGATGTGCTCCTTGAGCTTTCTTCCTGAGGTACCCAGACCAGTCTTTGAGCCCATGATTGTTGGTACTGTCACTCTTCTCTACCCTGAATGTGGCAGACCCTGGGGCCACTGCTATGGAGGTCCCAAGAACAAACTCTATTCCTAGGGACTCCATGCGACCCTCCAGGGATGGTGGTCTCTACACCACTGTGCTGAACCACCTGAAGCTTCTGGAGCCACCAGTCCTCAGCTCAGCAGTCTGTGGCAGGGTGGGAGAGAATATAAGTTTTGGTTTTGGTGTTATACATTGGTAGAGAGGCTCCAGAACAGTGCCAAACTGCATTTGCAGTAGAATACTCGTTCTGTTTTATCTGAAATTATTTTTCCTGGGACTTAGTTATTTATCCACACAGGAATCTGGGGTTACCAACAAATTTACTCCCCAGTTCTCATGTTTCCTGCCTGCCAAAGACTAAGGTTTTGTTCTTGACTTAGGTCCATTGTAACCAAGTATTCCTAAAGAGGGCTGTTAGTAGAACTCCCCAACTCCAACTTCTGACCCAATTGTGTCTGCTGGATGCCGGATATGTCTGAGCTCCAGCATGGTAATGCTCCCCTCTACAGATGTCATTAAGATAAGGTGACCAGACATCCACTTTTGGCGGAACAGTCCAATTTTTAACAATTTGTCCCACGTCCCACAGCATTTTTAAAAAGTCCCAATTTCTGGAAAGAATGCATGACAAGCTAGGGAACAGTGGGAGAATGGGAAGGGAATATACATGTGCTGCTGAAAAGGTTAATGTAACTCCATTTGGGAATGAAGA